CGCATGTGCGAGTGTGCATGCAAGTGCCTTTGTGTATGCTTGTCCGCATAGGTACAAGTGTGTGGAGAACAAAAGTCTAGCATTAAGTGTCTTCCATGGTTTCCCTCCATCTTATTTTTTGAGATAGAGTCCCTCAAAGAGCTTCGAGCTCAACAATTGTCTGGACTTGTCAGCCAGCAAGCCCCAGAACCTGCCTCTGTATGCCCCTCCTCCCCCAGCACTGGGCTTACAGACAACAAACTCAGGGTCTCAGCCTTCACAGCAGTACTTACAGAAGGAGAGAGCTCCCCAGCCCAGGGTAACTCATTTCTTAAATGCCTTAAAGATCCATGGACTTACCAGCTGTACCATTGGAATGGAGGAGAATTATTTAAGGAAAAATATTCAATTAGAATCCTAATTTCTAGCTGGATGGTGGTGGCACACGCCTGCAATCCCGGAGCTTGGGAGGCAGAGGCATCTCTGAGCTCCAGAGCTCTTCATGTCATCATCTGCATCTTTGAAGGAGTTACGCCACGTCCCCAACCCCGTCACATGTGTCTGCACACAGCTTGTGTTGGGTGGTCCCCACAGCCTCTGAGTAGCTGGGCTCTGGGACAGCTGCCTCTGGGCCATGACATGGAGAAGGGCAAGGCATACAGTTGAGTGGTAGACAAAGTACAAGGCCCGGGGTCCAGTCCCGACACTCTTGAAGCCAGACATAGTGAAACACTTTGTGTTCAATGCCAGCTTTAACTACATAGCTAGTACGAGGACTGGATTACAGGCCTGTTTCTAAGAGAAACGGGAGAGGCACCCCCATTTGGTAATTTGTATGTTTTTTTTTCTAAGTCAGTCTACATGAAGTTTTCAATTCTATTGTTTTGTTTTGTTTTTGAAGACAAGGTTTCTCTGTGTAGCCCTGGCTGTCCTGGAACTCACTCTGTAAACCAGGCTGGCCTTGAACTCCCAGAGATCTGCCCGCCTCTGCTTTCTGAGTGCTGGGATTAAATGCTTACAGCACCACCATGCCAGCTAGAAGTCTATCAGTCTCTTAATACTGTTTTTATTTTACTGAATTTTAAAAAATATATTGTGTCCATTTTCTGGGGTTCTTAAGTTACCTTTCTGCCTTCACAATTTCCTGAGGTTTCCTTACTGGAGTTCCTTGGTAAACTCCTTTAGTGCCTCCTCCCACGCCACAGTTAGAGATTCTTCCAGACAGTACTGTGAGCAAACCCAACCAGACGCATTCTCTTGGGGAAACCTACCCTTCACTGCCTGGTGCCGAAGTCCTCAGCAGCACTACTTTCTGGTTTTATGATGGGGTAGCAATTCCAACTGGTACTCCTCCCGTATAAATGGGAGTGGAAGCCACGGTCCATCCCAGGCCCTTAGAAAACATCACCCCATGCTGTGGTCTTTGCAGTATTCATGGCTGCCACAGGGCACTCCCACCCTTTTGCTTCATCCACAGCCCATCACAGTGCTCCTCTGATTAACCCTGAGGCCACACATACCCTGACTGCTAGCATTCCTCTTAATGGCCGCCAACCACACTGCCAGACCCAGCCAATGGTATGCTTGTGGTGGGACTCCTGGGACAGTTGCAACACAAGCAGGAACAGTCGGGAGGCAAGAACTGCATGTCACTAAAGAGCACAACCGTGCAGAGGGAACCCTAGGACAGCGCAGACGTAGGGACTGCAGGACATTACTGCAGAAGGCAGCAGCTGCTAGAATCTTCCACACATCCCCACACTCCTCCCCAGGCCTGGGGTCTCAAAGGAGCTGCCATAGTTAACATTCATTCAAAACCTTGAAGCCACAGTCACAGCTCAGACTTCAGAGGAGGGCAGGCAGCCGGGCTGGCGGCGGGTGTCTCTCAAATGTCAGACAAGAATGGTTTTTCATTGTTTTTTTGGTGAACCCAAAGAAAAACATATAGACATCCTCTTGAATATTAACCTTCATCAGGCGATGAAAGGAGACTGAGACAGAGACCCACATTGGAGCACAGGACTGAAATCTCAAGGTCCAAATCAGGAGCAGAAGGAGAGAGAGCACGAGCAAGGAACCCAGGACCGCGAGGGGTGCACCCACACACTGAGACAATGGGGATGTTCTATCAGGAACTCACCAAGGCCAGCTGGCCTGGGTCTGAAAAAGCATGGGATAAAACCAGACTCGCTGAACATAGCGGACAATGAGGACTACTGAGAACTCAAGAACAATGGCAATGGGTTTTTGATCCTACTGCGCGTACTGGCTTTGTGGGAGCCAGTTTGGATGCTCACCTTACTAGACCTGGATGGAAGTGGGTGGTCCTTGGACTTCCCACAGGGCAGGGAACCCTGATTGCTCTTTGGGTTGACGAGGGAGGGGGACTTGACCGGGGGAGGGGGAGGGAAATGGGAGATGGTAGCGGGGAGAAGGCAGAAATGTTTAATAAATAATTAATAATAAAAAAAAGAATGGTTTTTCAAATTTTACAAAGATCACAAACTGGAATTAGTGGCTTCCACCAGGCTGAGGAAATTGCTGAGCAGTGTGGACTGTAACAAAAACAGAAGCAAGAGAGGGTTCAACGCATGGGCACAGGAGACCACTTCCTAAATATAGCCCCAGCAGCACAGACACTGAGAGAAACAATTAATCAATGGGACCTTCTGAAACTGAGAAGCTTCTGTAAGGCAAAGGACATGGTCAACAAGACAAAACAACAGCCTACAGAATGAGAAAAGATCTTCACCAACCCTACATCAGACAGAGGGCTGATCTCCAAAATATATGAAGAACTCAAGAAATTGATTATCAAAAGAACAAATAATCCAATTTAAAAAATAATGGAGTACAGACCTAAACAGAGAACTCTCAACAGAGCAATCTAAAATGGCTGAAAGACACTTAAGGAAATGTTCAACATCCTTAGTCATCAGAGAAATACAAATCAAAACAACTCTGAGATTCTGTCTTACACCTGTAAGAATGGCCAAAATCAAAAACACTTATGACAACTTATGCTGGAAGGTTGTGGGGGAAAGGGAACACTCCTGCATTGCTGGTGGGAGTGCAAGCTGGTACAACCCTTTTGGATATCAGTATGGCGATTTCTCAGAAAATTAGGAAACAACCTACCTCAAGACCCAGCAATACCACTTTTGGGTATATACCCAAAGGATGCTCAATCATGCCACAAGTACATGTGCTCAACTATGTTCATAGCAGCATCATTTGTCATAGCCAGAACCTGGAAACAACCTAAATGCCCCTCTACCAAAAAATGGATAAGGAAAATGTGGTTTATTTACACAATAGAGTACTACACAGCAGAAAAAAATAATGACATCTTGAATTTTGCAGGCGAATGGATGGATCTAGAAAACATCATATTGAGTGAGGTAACCCAGACCCAGAAAGACAAATATCATATGTACTCACTCATAAGAGGCTTTTAGACATAAAGCAAAGAAAACCAGCCTACAATTCACAGTCCCAGAGAACCTTGACAACAATGAGGACCCTAAGAGAGACATACATGGATTTAATCTACATGGGAAGTAGAAAAAGACAAGATCTCCTGAATAAATTGGGAGCATGGCACCATGGGAGAGGTTTGAAGGGGAGGGGAGACGGAGGGAGGGGAGCAGAGAAAAATGTATAGCTCAATAAAATCAATAAAAATAAAAGAAAAAAGGGTTCAAAACGTGAGGTGGGGCTGGGATGGCGCTCAGGCGGCAGAGCTTCAGCCTAGCAGGACCAAAGCCCTGATTGCATCCCCAGAACCACGTGAACAGGGTGTGGCAGCACAGACCTCTAACCTTGGTTTGTAATCTCAGCACTCGGGAGATGGAGTCAGGAAGATCAGAGTTTCCAGGTCATCCTCGGCCACATAAAGAGTTCAAGCCAAGTTGGAATAAATGAGAATTTTAAACAAACAAACAAAAGATGTGCACTTACAAAGCCGGAGAGAACCCTTCTCCGCTCCTGCCCTGGACCTCTCTAGCGCTCCCTGTTTTCAGGGCCTCCCAGGGATTGTCCAGCAAAGCCAGAGGCAGCTTGCAGAGATGTGGTACAGCATTCCAGCGTCAGAGAAGCAGGTGGGAATGGAGCCTGGAGCCATCCCATCAGGTGGTGCCCTCGGGAAGCAGATGCTAGCAGTCAGAGGACACCATGATCTCCTAAATGTGACTGTCACCCTGGGATCATGAAGGGTGCTGCCACGGTGTCAGGTTTGCAGTCCAGGTTTCTAAAGGGACACTACCACAGTCAGACACTTGTCCTGGCTTAGCTCCACAAAGGACAGGAACACAGGTGTCATTGCCATGGGAACCATTTATATTTGGTGAATTTTGGGGTTCCTCTTGAGACTCTCCCACAAGTCTAAAGTTTTCCCCACAATACTAAGGTGAGGAAGAGTCACTGGGGCCTGTACTTCTGGAGACCCTGGAACTAAAACATGCACTTGCCCTTCCTCATTGAGCACCAGCTGTGATCAGTGACCCGTGGTTTTAAGATAATCAGAGAGCTCCTAATTATTAAAGTTCACTCTTACAAAGCTTTCTCTGGTTCCCTCTTTGCTGGAGACTGTACACACTGGCTCAACACCTCTGCCTCTGCCACAACCTGAACTGCCACAGCCCCGATGCCTGGAGTTGCAGGGGCCAAAAGCCTCCATGTTCTGCTTGTTAGAAACAAGCTTGTTAGACCTTCTCTGGCACATGGTGGTCCTTCTGTGTCATCAGTAGAGCGAATGGTCTCTAAAAGGCCCCTGGGTGTCTTGAGTCTAGACAGGAGAGCCTGTGAGGTCATTACTGGGCGTGTCAATGCTCAGCAGGCTCCCCTGAGCCATCCTGATTTCCTCTGAGCGCCAGGCTTGCCAGGAAGGCTGACAGGGAGGAGCTGGCTTTCTCTTGCTGTTCATACCTGGCCAGTAACTGAGCTCAGCTTAAGAGCAAGGTCCCCAGAGAGGCTCTTTCCTGACCTACCCTATCCCCTCCAACACCATGTGACATTGAGGAGCCAGCCGGCTGACGCTGAGTCGGAGTGCCCGCCTGCAGCTTGGTAGCTCCAGCAGCGGCCAGAGCCTTGGTCTGGCCAGGACAGTTCCCTCCAAGGCCCAGGGTGGAGCAGGGAGGACCAGAACGGTGAGCAGCCAGGGGACAAGGAAGAGCTCTGCGGCAGCCCAGTAGCTGGGTGTCCTCTGGGCAGTGGGGGACGGCAGCTGGGCGGGTGGGGGAGGGGCAGCTACATGAGCCTGGCGGGCCTAGCCTCCATCCTCTGACTTGGGCTGGGTCATCTGGCTTGCAGGCAGCTCTGGGCCACACCAGAAGGGCAGCTGAGTTAAACAGCACTTCCTCCACCTGTGGTGAGGCTCCTGTCCTATCAGGTCCCTTATGTGTGCCATTGTGTCCCTTGAGGGAGAGGAGGGTGGAGACTCAGGAGACAGTCACCTGGGCACTGTTCCTAAATCCTCACTGTCCCCAGCCAGAGCAGAGCCCGGACAAGGGGGACTCCATGCCAGTCTGTAGAAGGCAGAGCCACACCTATGTCGTATCCCAACCTTCTGTGTTTCCAGGGGGAACCTCCCCATTTCTCCTCCATTGATGTTTTCCTCCCTCTCCATCCCCTCCCTTCTACCCACAGAGTTTGTAATCTAGTTCTTCCTACCACCCAGCCCTGAGATTCTGCCCCCCAACCTCCAGATGGACAGGTGACCCCATACACAGCCCCCACAGGGTTCTAGTGGGAGAAGGACACTGGCCAGGCCTGGCTAAGCCTTGCCCTGCCTTTCACCCCTAAATTGTTGCTGTTGTTATCATTCCCCTGGTGTGGCTACAGCTTTTGTTCTCAGTTCACCTCCCCACTTCCCTCCCTCTTCTCTTCCTCTCCCTTGTCATGTGTTCTCTCCTCTCCCTTCCTTCCCAGGCTTTCCCTGGGGTCAGCAGGGCTGTGCCCTTTCTAGCCCCTGTCCCTAGCTGGCATTGAGGCCCTTGGTATACAGACAGGCCCCTTCAAGTATAGACATAAGGAATTCAGCCCAGGAAAGGAGAGGAGGGAGCTTGCAGCGCCATGGTGAGAACCTCAAGGTTAGCGAAGACCACCTGGCCCTTCAGAGTCTGAGCCTCCCCAGGGTCCTGGAACCAACTCAGTGCATGGCTGTGTGGAACTGAGTAGTTGAGAGGGGTCTTGTGTCAGGGGTGTCACCTCTGAATGTTCCCCCTTGACCATGGCAACCCATCCAGGCTGCCTAGGTGTGGAAACACTGGCTCACCCCATCAGTAAGAGCAGTTTCCCGGCCACACATAGTGCTTCCCTCTGTGAAGTGTGGGTTTAGGGGCCACCCATCTGGTTGTCACAGGATGATGGTACTTTAGAGAACCTAGCACCACTACCTAGACTCCACCCACCCCCACAGCACCACCAATACTCCCGCCCATTGCCCCCGCAGGAATCCCAATGCTTTGGGAGCTAGGATGGAACACGTAGCTAGAAATGGAGTCCTGAATCTCCACCTAGGGACTGATACGCTCTTCCCAAAGGAGACGAGGTGGCTAGCCACACCAAGACAGGAAGAAGACTCCAGCCAGACTCTGGGGAAAGGCAAGGCCCTGCCCTATCTCTCCAAAGAACAAGGAAAGGCTGAAGATAGCGATGGGGACAGATGAGCACAGGTGGAAGGATGGGACAGATGGTCATAGGTCCTGGGGTAGACAGGGAACCGCAGGTGATGGGAGGGACAGGTAGCCATGCTGGCAGGATGTGTGTTTTGCTGAGGTCTGGAGTTTGGTGGCCTCAGTGTCACAGCTATAGCTGTGTTGGGTCAGGGTTGTGCTCCTCTCTGGCCCCACCCTCCAGCATGCAGTGAGCCACTGTCTCAGGCACGGAAGGCAGATGAGGACCCTGTCCAGCGTCACCCTCAAACAAGTACCTCTTCCCCCTCAGGGAAGGAGTGGCATTTGAAAAGGAGGGGCCTCCCTAGTCCCTGAAGGACTGGAGTACTGTCACAGGCTGCAGGTATATGGCCAAAGGAGAGGGACAGTTGCTGGGTCTCCCTTGCCTGCACGGGATGGCAGTCAGCTAGAGGGTCCAGAGCCATTTGGCAACACACCCTCATGGAATGCTCCAGAAAAACCTAGAAGACTAAAGAGCTTTGCATGCTGATGACAAACACAAGGGGGCCTCCAGGTCCTCAGAGTTATGCCTCCAGCTCCCCTTCTCTCTGTACAAAGGGAGCCATCAAATCTGGGCTTCTCTTCCTCTCCCTGTGTTCCAGGCCATCCAGCCCCTCCAGGGAAGTCCAGAGTGAACAGTACTAGTAGGCTCCTGGAACAGGGCTCTGGAAGACGGACATTTCCACTTCATGCTTCAGACAGATAGGGGGGTGATAAAACAGATATAGGAGGTGGGTACCTCCTCCAGTGGGTGTCATCATTTCTGTCACCTATGATTCCCTGGCTACCTGAGTCCTCAGACGTGGGCAGGGACAGGCTCAGGTTCCTAAGTCAGTGTCATTACGGTTGCAGGGGTGTCCGGAGAGAGAAAACGCAACACAGACTTCTGCAGGCTCTGCTGTGGTTACCTTCGCTCCACAATGTCACTGAGAGTGCACACACAGTTTCCCAGAACCCAGGAGGACATGGCGTTCAACCTGACCATCCTGGTCCTCACCGAGCTCCTAAGTCTGGGTGGGCTGCTGGGCAACGGGGTGGCCCTTTGGCTGCTCAACCAGAACGTCTACAGGAATCCCTTCTCCATCTATCTCTTGGATGTGGCCTGTGCTGACCTCATCTTCCTCTGTTGCCACATGGTCACCATCATCCCCGAGCTGCTGCCGGACCAGCTGAACTTCCCGGAATTCGTACACATCAGCCTGCTCATGCTGCGATTCTTCTGCTACATCGTGGGCCTGAGCCTCCTGGCGGCCATCAGCACAGAGCAGTGCCTGGCCACTCTCTTCCCCGCCTGGTACCTGTGCCGCCGTCCACGGTACCTGACCACCTGTGTGTGCGCACTCATCTGGGTGCTCTGCCTGCTGCTGGACCTGCTGCTGAGCGGGGCCTGCACCCAGTTCTTTGGCGCACCCAGCTACCACCTGTGTGGGATGCTGTGGCTGGTGGTGGCAGTTCTCCTGACTGCCTTGTGCTGCGCCATGTGTGTGACCAGCCTGATCCTGTTGCTGCGAGTGGAGTGTGGTCCAGAGAGGCACCAGCCCCGGGGCTTCCCCACCCTAGTCTTGCTAGCTGTCCTCCTTTTCCTCTTCTGTGGTCTGCCCTTTGGCATTTTTTGGTTTTCCAAGAACCTGTTCTGGCACATTCCCCTCTACTTCTACCACTTCAGCTTCTTCATGGCGAGTGTGCACAGTGCGGCCAAGCCTGCTATCTACTTTTTCTTGGGCAGCACACCTGGCCAAAGGCTGCAGGAACCCCTCCGGCTGGTGCTCCAGCGGGCACTGGGAGATGAGGCTGAGCTGGGGGCTGTGAGAGAGGCTTCCCAAGGGGGACTTGTAGACATGACTGTCTAAGCCCAGTGGATCACAACTGCAGCTCCGACCCAAGGGGGCCAGGGGAACTGCCTGGTATAGGTTAAGAGCTAGGATCAGAGCTCCATCAGTAAGACCCTGGAGGGACATCTTTGCTGATGACCCAGCTGTGTGTGTCCTGGGAGGATGCTGGGAAGGGGCAGACAGAGGGTGATCTTTTTTGTGTGGAGGGCCTGGGATTGTGCATATTAGGCAGAACTCCAGGGCCACCTCATGACAGCTGCTTCCATAGCCTCCCTTTCCCCACGGCTACAGCAAGAAGAGATAGGCCAGTCATAGTGGTGGGCGCCTGTTCCTCCACTATCAGCATCCTCTTAGCTATAGAGCGTGGAATAAATGATGCTGAAATTGGACGCTTGGTTAGGTATGGGGGAATAAGTGGCTTGGGAGTCCTCAGTGGTTGAACTACAGCAGAAGGCATCCTCCTGACCCCACACCACAGCCAGAGATCAAAGCCTGTCAGGGACCAAGCAGAACTGGCACAGGCCTGATATCCCAGCTGTCTGACAAGCTGCAGTAGGGGGAGCAGGGTTGTAAAACCAAGGCCTGCCTTGCTACATCTAGTTTCAGGGATCTGTCTTCCTCTTTTGGCTTCTGCAGTCAATTCATGCATGTGGTACACACACACACACACACACACACACACACACACACTTGCACACATGGGTACGTGCAGTGAAAACAGAGTTCAAGCTCAGCTTAAGCTAAAGGGGACCCATCTCAAAAAGCAAAGCACAGAGGGGGATGTGTAGGAGAGAGAGCACTGGATGATGCAAACCTCACCCAACACTTCAGAAAAGTTGGTGGTCCTGGCTCTCAATCTCAAAGTGAAGCTCTCTGTGGCTAACAAGGCCCCTCTCAGCTCTGGACACACCCAAAGCACCTCTATCTAGCAGGACAGAGCCCAGAGCTTCAGCGCCCAAACAGCTCCTGCCTCCTTCCCTGCCCCCACATGCTACCTCTTTACCCCTATCCCATCCTGGACAGGATCTACTTAGCAGGGTTCCTCTGAGGAAGCAGCCTGGCTGTACCCCACAACAGATGATTGAGCTCCTGCCTGGCCAGGGGCACAGAAATGAATGGAAGCCCACCAATCCAGGGACAGGTGGCTGAGAGCCAGAGCTTGCCACCACCCATGTCATTGCACTAGTGCCACCCTTATATGGAACCCAGTCAGTTGGTTTACACACACACAGTGTTTGGAGTCGTGTCCAGAAAGTCCCGAGAGGATTTTATTACATCATCAACAATTCAGGCCCACATCCATGATGTGCTGACCTCCTTTGACATCTGAGTGGGTGTAATTCTGACTTGGACCAGGCCCACAGATTGAGGGACATTTGGTCTCTGTCATGATTAAACTTGTACCCGAGTCTGGACAAGGATGGCATCCTGGAACTGACGACTCTGTCTCCCCATCCCACTCAGCTTGCGTTGGGTTGCATCCTGTGGTATGATGTCTTCCCCTCAGATGCTCTGGCAAGTCTAGATGAAGGGATCCCAGGAGGCCAGGAGCTTGCGGGGGCTGGTCCTCCTCTTCCAGAGAAACCCCTTCTATCCCCCATGAGGTCCTTCCCTGTCCACCTCCAGGACAGAATTCTCAACCTCAGTTCTTCAGCTTGGGGAACAGAGAGCATGAAAGGAAGTAGCCTGTCCACAAATCCAGTTTTCAGCCTCTGGACACCCACTTCTCCCCGGGGGAAAATCCAAGCCAGCCTTACAGGTGTCTCCCCAACTATGCATTAGCCCAGAGCCTGTCCATGATGCTGGAGGGCCCTTCTGCGGCCCTGAAGTCCAGAGAGTCCTGTGTCTGCTTGAGACAACCCTGAACATGGAACAGACTCAGCCTGATGCAGTACGGAGTCTGAGGGAGTCTCAGGGAAATGTTTTTTGGTCAGGTTGACCTGTGAGCATTTTCTTGATAGCTAATAGATGAGGGTGGGCTCAGCCCACTGTGAGCAGTACCACCCCTAGGCGAGTGGGTCTGGGTTATAGAGAAAGCTAACTAAGCATGAGCCTAGGGGCACGTCGGTTCTTTAAGCCCCATGCTTCCTACCTCAGGCCTGCTTGAGGTCCTGCCCTGACAGCCAGCACAGTGATGGACTGTGACCTGGAAGTCTAAGCTGAATAAACCTTTTCCTCCCCAAATAGTTTTTAGTTCATGGTATTTATCATAGCAACAAAAAGCAAACTAGTACATACATTGTGTCTGCCTTGTTGGGCCAGAGCTGGCTGGAGTGTCATAGCCCACCCTATGTGCCCATGTCTCTTACACACTCAGACCCCTTAGCCACCCTGGGGTACAGACACATCAGGGTCTCTCAGGATACACCCTTCCTTGGATGGGTTTGGGACACCTCAAAATTCTCCTCTGGACTTCATGTGTAGTGGACTCTTCCCAAAGATCCCCAAATGCATATATGAAACGGTCCACTCTACCACCCCTATGGTATTCCAATGGCCTGGACTGGATGGCTCTTCTCTGGGCTCAGGTCTGCCTGTTTGGTCTTCTTCCAAGAGACCATCCTATCTTTGCATCCTATCCTGACAAAACTCCCCTTCTGCCCTCAGAGCAACAAAGGCCTCAAAAAAAGACCTCCAGCCATTTTTTACTCCACCCCCACCCAGTGTGACCCTGAAGAAGGATTACCCAAGTTCCCCTTCCCTGGGCCTCCAGGCAAAGTCAGACCTTGAGAGGCCCAGGTCCTAGGAGAACTGGCCAGGGGGCCAGGCTAGCATCCATCGTAGCCTACCCACTGCAGGATCCAGGAACACAGGAGCCACTTGGGAATACAGACTTCTCAGGAACAAGATGTCATTGTGATGTCACCACTGGATCAGCCAGACATTCTTGGAAGCCATTGTAAGCCTGCTCTCTCCGGTGGCCCACAGGGAGCACGGAGGAGCCCAGCCTATGTTTATAAGAATATAGTTTGTTGGGCTGGAGAGATGGCTCAGAGGTTAAGAGCACTGGCTGCTCTTCCAAAGGTCCTGAGTTCAATTCCCAGCAAACATATGGTGGCTCACAACCATCTGTAATGAGATCTGGTGCCCTCTTCTGGCATGCAGACAGAATGCTGTATACATAATAAATAAATAAATCTAAAAAAAAAAAGAATATAGTTTGTTGAGCAGGGACAGCAACCTAGTGGTCAGTGGCCTCAGATAACACCCTAGTGCCCACTCCACCCTACTGCATACTAATAACAGTGTTTCTCCCAAGACCTGTGAGGGCCTTGCTAGCCCACGCCTCACCTATCTCTCCCTCTCAGAAGGTGCTGCCTTCCCCTGGCCTCTGCCTCCTGATTTTTCTAGGGCTGTGCATTTCACAACTCCTTATAGCTCTGATCCTGTGTTCTTGAGTCCTCTCTGATGCTGAAAGACCCCTCCCAGAGCAAGCTAACTTCTAGAGACTCTCATGTACTGGTTTATGGTAACAAGTACAGGCTTGGATGCAGAGCCCATCCCCCTCCTTCTTTCTAGGGTTCTTATCCTCCTGTGGACACTTCTTCCCTCAGCCAGGTCCTTAGATATTAGGATCAGGCTGGTCCACAAAAAAAAAAGTGGAGAACCAGCAAGGAGTAGCCAGGGAGTGGAAGCAGAGTGGGCAAAGCCCCCAGCAGGCTATCTAACCCCAAGCAGAGAAAGCAGGGCTGCATGCTAAATGCTTCCTGTCTGCTGTATGGACGCCCTGAAATTAACAGGTACGGGTGGTTATTTGAATGCCACTCACCCCATGGCAGTAAGGAAAGCAAGAAGCCTCAGAAGTGGGGTGACCATTGTTTGGCCATTGTTGTCAGCAGTTCAGTTGGCCATTGATACCCAACTGTCTAAGGATGAGGTGAAGAATTAAAGAAGTTATAGCTTGAAACATATAAGCATTTTTATGTCCTTCTTATCCTTGAGACTTCCTGAGGGGAAACCATAGCTCCAAGTTAACAACCCGAGTTTGCAGCTTTGGGGGTGGAGAATGGGAAGATAAGGCAGGTGTCAACTGTTAGCTCGGGCTGAGTGGGATGCAATGATCTGGAAACCTGGGAAGAGGGTAGAAAGGCAACCTTGAGACTGAAGGCATGGAAGGGCAGCAGCCTGTGAGCCACACTCCTCTCTCCATGGTTACACCATGGGAAGCAGACTGGGGGGGGGGGGGGCACTCTGAAGGGAAGCTGCTCAGGACCCTAGTGCTGTCAAGTAGTTCAATATAACAATCAAGGGGCAAGCTCCATGAATGAGAGGTCCAGGGAGTAAAGTGGGTGGCATTTCTCTGGCGGGACACAGAGCACCAGGGAATGAGTAAAGTCACTGGCCCCTGGGGATTTGTGCTTTGTTTGTTTTTGGTTGTTGTTGTTGTTTGCTTTCTTTAGTATCTTGGGCAAAGGATTCATGAACTTTTAGGAGGCGGCATCATGTTGCAGTGTCAAAAGGCTGGACCCACCTGATACATTCTACCCTTCAGTTCTGAAGAATTCAGGCCCTTCTAGACTAGATCATCATGGCCTTGAGCGTGGCATAAGCCAGACAATCTAGCCAAAGCAATGAACTCCAAGTTCAGCCAGTGATCTCTCTAAAAAGAATAAGGTGGGGTGATTGAGGAACACACCCAACAACAACCTCTGGCTTTCACATGCATGCCTATGCCCACACTCACATGGCACACACGCATGGTGCTCACACACGATCCAGCAATAACAGGATTCTGCAGTAGCCTACCGGCTTAGCATGCCACTTCTTCCCTGATCTTAGGATTCATTCACAGACATGTTCTGCTGGCTAGCACACACAGCATGTTCCATCATGCCAGCCTAGCTGCAGTCATTCTGCTACCCAGCAGGGACACTGTCACCAGCATCGTCTTCACATGGTACTGATTTGCCCTGACAAGTCCTGAGTGTGTCTTAACACCTGTACTTTGGCATTCCTGTAGGTCTTGCCATCTCCTTCACTGAAGGCTGCCTATGGTGCCAGCATTTCCTGCAGTGCACACATCTCTGTGTACACTGAATGTGTGGATGGTTTCTTCTTTCCAGAAGATTTTCTGAATCACCTTGTTGAATGTCTCTTCTCTGAGGACAAGACTGGAAAATTCTAGATAAAGAAATATGTCAGAAGCTCTGCATAAACAAACCATTCTGAGCATTAAGAATGATGTCAGTTGTTGGAATAAGCGTTGAACAAATTCTCCAGACCCTGACCAAAACCCTATGTTGAAACTCCAACTCCTTCCTTCTCATTGCCATTGCCAAACTCAGTCACTCACTATGACCCTCATCTTGATAGCCAGGACAAGGCAGCTTTCAAAGATAAGACAGCCTTGTCTGGATAAACAGCTCCAGGAGGGAGAAACTGCAGGGTTGCTCGTAGCCTTAGCCATTGCATTCCCCAAACCTCCTTTATGAATCCCAAGTTTCCCTTCTCCTTTGGCAATCACCCATTTCTCATTGTGCCTGCCCCACGATGTTTGAGATAAGCATTCCTGTCTGCTGAGGTCAAACTGGTTTCTTTGATTCTGCCTCATTAACACTGAGATGCTAAAACCAAGGAGAACACCTGGGCCCCACCCCCAGCCCTCTTTCTAGGACCTTTTGACTTTCTTACTGTCCTTGCCAACTCCTGGGAACTGTTATCTTGGGGGCACAGATGCTTGCCAAACTATAATCTAAACAGCCACAAGTCTACCTGGGACCTCTGGTCTTGTGGCCTCTGTCTCCATGAGAAGTGGAAAGTTCCACTGATGGGCCTCTGGTTCTGGGGGTTTCATTGATATTCTATGTAAAGCCAGTTTGGGGCCTCAAGTAAGCCTGGCAGGACCACCCACCTCTTTCAGACAATTAACCTTTCTCCATCTTGTTCAGACCTGGGACCCTTTCCAGTGACCTTGAGTTCCTGAAGTCCACTGACAGCTCTGGCTCTGGTCACCGTGATCATCTGGCACCTTTGCTGAGTATGTTCAAGCCCACCTCACAGGTAGACCTGCCTGTCCATCACTCTCAAGATCTCTATGATCTCTCCGCACTCTTCTCTGAAAAAAAATCTCTTAGGACTACACTGTAAACTGTCTTAGAGAGTCCTTTGGGTGTGGTTTAAAACCTATAAACTCTGTAACAAAATTAGCTCTGTGTAACAGAAGTCTTAAAATCTATACATGAGTATATATGTGATCCAACTCTAGTCTAGGATATATTGTATATGTAACTTAGATTCTTTACATTGTTATCTAAATTTTCTAGAAGCCTGGTATTGAAGTTAGCAAAGGCATAAGTAATTAGGTGTAAATCTCTAAGTCAGCTTTTGTTTTTTTTTTTTTTGTTTTTCGAGACAGGGTTTCACTGTGGCTTTGGAGCCTGTCCTGGAACTAGCTCTATAGACCAGGCTGGTCTCGAACTCACAGATAACAGCTTTTGTTAATATGAACACACCTTTATAAATTTAAGATTTTTGTCGTCACACAAAAATTCATGCCAATCTACATATTTTGGAGACTTGCTGTTGTTTCTTAATCTAAAGGAGATACAGTGATGAGAATAAACAACTTTTGTTTAGGAAAATACATGTTTTTAAATAGCAACCATGTGGCTCTCCTCCATCTTGGCTGAGGATCTTATCAAGACAGAAGCAAACCACATGACTGGCAGCCATTTTTACCAAGGTTAAAGAGTGCATGTCATATGACTTCACTATTTTTTTTCCTTTCTATTCTTTTCTTTTATTACTTTAAAAAAATACCAATCCAAATTCCCACTTTCTCCCCTCCTCCCACGTGACTTCTTCCAGACCAGCCTGGTCTACAAGAGCTAGTTCCAGGACAGGCTCCAAAGCTACAGAGAAACCCTGTCTTGAAAAACAAAACAAAACAAAAACAAAAAAAAAAAAAAGGTGACCATGTGGCATATGTTATTCTTTCGGTCCCTGCCCTAGCCACGCCCACTCCTTTTTAACCTCTGACCTCAGTCCGCCATCGCTCTCTCTTTGTTTCTCTCCCGGTGTACACACGGGGCTTTGCCTCTCTCCTCCTCTCTCTCCCTCCTTCTCTCTCTCTCTCTCTCTCTCTCTCTCTCTCTCTCCCCCCCCCCTTTCTTTCCCTCCTTTTTAATAAATTCTTATATGGCTATTTCCTGTGTTTATATGTCTGTTAC